ATTTTCTTCATATTTCTGTATAGAACTTCTGACTTTATCATCATATGAGATCATTGCAAAATTACTTAAAAGATAGTTCTTCCTTTGACACATTGTGTGTTTCTTAGGTCAGTACTTGCTTTGATTTCATTCCTTTTCTTTTCTTTTTGTTTTTGTTTTTGGAGACAGGGTTTCTCTGTGTAGTTCTGGCAGTCCTGGAACTCACTCTGTAGACCAGGCTGGCCTCAAACTCACGGAGATCTGCCTGCCTCTGCCTCCCTGAGTGCTGGGATTAAAGGAGTGCACCACCACCACTTGGCTTGACCTCACTTCTTTGCACATATTCAGATGTGCTGTATTGGTAGAGGAAAACACTGAAGATCCCGTGAGTTTGCTATCCATTTTTGTGCGCAAGTGTGTGAGGAATGTTTTGGATTCCTTTGTATTATTTGCTTTCTATTTTGTCCTTTTTATTTTTTCCTGTTATATATCCATTTTGATTTTATCTTTCAGTTTTCTTTTTATTTTCTCTTTTCTTAGATGTAAATTGCTTAGCTTCATTCCATTTTATATCACTATATCTTCACCCTGGATCTGGTCATTTGAGGGCATAGCTCTCTTCTTTTCTCAATATTTTTTGATTTCTAAACCATTCACTATTCTTTCTGTATTTTCAGCTAGATCTCAAAACTATATGGAATTACTATGCCAGTGATTCCTGTTTAATTATTTGGTTAAGGTTTCTTACTCAGGGCATGTTATCTTTAATGGCTATTTTGCAACTCATTGTGATTTAACCAACTTTTATGAAGATTTGCTCTATGACAGCCATTGTACCAGCCATTCTGGTTATAGATGTGAATATATTAATTATTAGATTTATAGTGTGTTGCTTTACTCACTTCCTTCAGTCTTTGGCAATAAAATCCACCAAATGAGCTGGACCTGTAAGTTTTGTAAATAGTTGAACCTATATATACTAATCCAAGGATTAGCAATTACTAATCCAAGGAACAGAAATTAAAAACAAATGTTTTAAAAGCTGGAGGATTTCTAACTGTTCTTTTAAAAAAATGAAAGAACAGTTTTCATAGATTTGAAAATCAAGCACATATTGAAGATCCTAGCAAGTTAGGTGGTTTATTGTGGCCAGAAAGTCCTTTGAAAAATTATAGTGGCAGTGGGATTTGGGTAAGTTATGGTGGCAGTAGGTTTTGGGTGTGGTGTAGCGTAAGTTGCCGCATAGTTTTCCCATCTTGCACCATGTTGTTTATTATGTAACTGAACGCATTTCACTCACAATATACATTAATATGCACCAGCCGATGTATTTTGAGTGATGCTGAATGGATTAAAAATAAAAGTTATCATGTGTATTTTAAAAAATAACTTCATATTTCTTTCAAAATATAACAATTCAGAGCATTCTCACTAATTAGAATTTTCAAGAGAACAGTCTTTTACTTACTTTGTTTTCTAAAATAACTTACAGAGATTCAAAAACCTTTGAGGAAATTAATTAATACCTTTTCAATTTTGTCTCTGATGCATGGTGAGAGGAGGCCCTTTCTCTCTTTTGAAATGAAAACTAAGGTCCATTTAATGTGATATTCTGTAATAGCACCTTCTTCTCTGCTGAGATTCATTTCTCTAGCCAGTAAATGAGTAGGTGTGGAGACTTTCTCTGGAATTTCTCAAACCAAGTCTTTCCATAGAAATCCAAGAGGAGGAAGGGAGAGATGTCTCAGAGGTTAATAGCACTGACTGCTCTTCCAGAGGATTTGGGTTCAATTCCCAACACCCACATAGCAGCTAACAACTGTCTGTATCTCTAAGATCTGATACCCTAACACAGACATACATATAGGCAAAACACCAATGCACATAAAATAAAAATAAATAAATTATTTAAAAAAAAATCCAAGAGAAGCTGGCCATAGTGGCACATGTTTTTAATCTCAGCACTTGGGAGGCAGAGACAAGGAGGATCTCTGAGTTCGAAACCAGGCTAGTCTACAAAGTCATTACAGGACAGCCAGAACTGTCTCAAAAAAACCAAACAAATAAAAATGAAGTCCAAGAGAAAACTAGAAATAATTTCCAGAGTTACTTGTTACTTGCCCTTGAATTAATGTTCACAGAGGAGGAAATTAAGGCCTAAGGGAAGAGGTGTGTGTGTGTGTGTGTGTGTGTGTGTGTGTGTGTGTGTGTGTGTCAGTGTGTGAGAGAGAGAGAGACAGAGAGAGAGAGAGAGAGAGAGAGAGACAGAGAGACAGACACACAGAGAACACACTAGATCTAAATGTAATTTTTCAGTAAATTGGTTTTCTGAAATTCTGTTGAGGGTCCTTCTGGCTTTGATTATAAAGTTGGGCAGCTATGTTTTTTAAGGTAGCAAGCCATTTATTACCCTGTGTTTGTCAGAAATATACTTATAGGTTTATACTGAGAAAATAATTGTAGATTATGGTCTAAAGTGAATCCCATGTCATCTGTGTTGATAGAGGTATGCACAGTTACACTCTCAGTATGTACATATTAGCATTCATGCACAGGCACTACCATTACACTTTCAGTGCATAAATATCAACATTCATGAACAGGCACTGCTGTTGGACTCTCAGTGTGTACATACCAGCATCCACACCCAGTCACTACCTGTACTGTTTATTTTTAGAAATGACAGACAGTATTCTAGCTATACATAAGCCTCTATTTTCCTGCTCATTGGTATTTTTATTTATCCTGCTATACAAATAGCTCCTCCAGGTCTTTAAATATTTATAATATATGTATATAATTTTCCTGTCATTTAAAGTTGAAATTAACTTTTTCCAAATTGCGCAGTAGCACTATCCTCCTCAGTGATTACCCTGTTTCTATGGCCTGCATATCTGAGGACTAAGGAGGTATACAAACCTCATTTTCTAGTTGGGAATAAAATGCAGGTAGACGAGTTAGTTAAGAGTAAAAAATTGAGAATAAAAAGTGACGTAGTGGTACATGACTGTGCTTTAGAGGCTAAGGCATAGTAGGACCTTGTTTAAAAAAATGAAAACAACTATGAACAACAGATCATTGGACATATAGTCTGCTGGATTTACTTAGGATGATTTAGGTAGTTAGAAACTTGATGTTTTATATCCATCGAGAAGAGTTAATTGGAAATAACTATGCCAGTTCATTTCCTATTACCTATATACCTTAATTGAGTTTTACACTAGCTGGGAGTGATGGTGTCTATTAGACTGAGTGATGTTTGGTTTACCTTAGTCACACTTTTATTATCAGCACTTATCATAGTGCCAACCACTAACATATTACAGAAATTATCTGGATATTGATCCCCTCTCACCTTGGTCAGTAAAAAGGGAGCAGTTAAAGATTGCCATATTATCCTGAAGTTCTAGGATAATGGATCATATGTTGTCATCATGGGCTAAAAGTAATATTACTATAAGTGATAATTTTGTTCTTTTTTTTTTTGCTAGTTCTACTTTTTAACAAAACTTTTTTCAAAGGTTTCTGAAATATTATTGTCTTTTTCTTAGTTAAAAATGCAGGGATATAGCTCAGAGGCAACATATTTATATAGTAGGGGGCATAATCCCTTATATTGTAAAAAGGGAGGAAAAAGAGAGGGAGAATGCATACAATATTTAAACCTAGTGCTTTGGTTCCAGAAGGGTCATGGGAAGAGGGTGCGGAAATATTATAATGAAGAAGGATCTAGATCAGTGATTCTCAACCTGGGTGTTGCTAACCCTGGGGAGGGGAGTACATCAAATGACTTTTTCACAGGGGTCACGTATCAGATAATCCTGCATATCAAGTATTTACATTATGATTCATAACAGCCATTATGAAGTAGCAACAAAAGCAATTTTATGGTCAGGGTCACCACAACATGAGGAACTGTTTTAAAGGGCCGCAGCATTAGAGAGGTTAAGAACCAGTGGTCTAGATGTTGTTCCCAGTTGGATTTGTCCCCCTGAAGTCTTTCCATTGGGCTTGGTCCTTCCCTTCTATTGTGTCTGTTCTCCCTTTAAAGAATTAGTTTGTGAGTGATCATCTGCTGCTGCTGCTGCCGCATTTTGGGCTAGAACAAAGTGAGAACTGTAGGTTGTATCCTTGGGTTGAACTTAGAGAAACTTCTGCAGTTCAGGGTATGTGGCTAGAGAATTCTGTTTCCTATGGCCAGGGTCCAAGCTGCACTTGCCTTGACAACCTTGAAAATGTAAATGTTGTTTATAACCGTTTTTTTTTTTTTAACTAATTTATTTTATGTGCATTGATGTTTGCCTGCATGCATGTCTGTGTGAGAGTGTTGGATTCCTTGGAACTGGAGTTACAGAAAGTTGTGAGCTGCCATGTGGGTGCTAGGAATTGAACTCAAGTACTCTGGAAGAGCAGCCAGTGCTCTTAATCACTGAAGTATCTCTCTGCAACCTTCCCTCGTTGTTTATAATCTTTATGTCATCTATAATCAATTTATTTATTTTAATGACTTTAAATGATGAACAACTAGATTTTATTGAAAAACAGTAATGCTGAATAAGTCTGTTTTAGAAATTGTCAGCCTTTATTATAGTGATTCTTGACTTGTCAAAACTTATGAATCTATTTTAAAGAAAACAAAAAGGAGTAAACTCCTGAAAAGTAAGTAAAAACTGAACATGAAGAACACAAGTTTAAATGGAAGTTTAGTAGTATTAAAGCCTCATTTACTTACCATGTCATGGTGTTACTTGAACTTCATTTACTCATAAGTAGTCTTCACTACAGCTACAAAGGAGGTCAGGATAGTTGCTTGGCATCATTTTATTGTAAGATAGTCATCTTACTATTTGTGTTAAACACTTGAGACTCGTAGAGGACATCTTCAAACCTCCAGTTGTGGCAACTGCTGCATTGGCAATGGATGTATGAAGTGTTTGAAGTTACAGTATGGAGAGTTGGGCACTAATGGGACTTCAGCTAGTTTTGGAGAAAATGGTAACTGCTGCTTGCTTTCTCCACAGCTCTCATGGCAAAGATGCCTCTCCTGGTCCTCTGATGGATGTTACAAACATTCCTACTCCACGCAAATTCCTTGATGCCACTCAATATTCTGCTGCTGGCAGCTCAAGTGGTAAGTTATTTTTATCATGTGCTACAATCTTAGTATACTAGAAAGCCTAGGCAAAGACTTGTGGTAGCCTGTGATATGTTCTTTGGGACTCTCACGGGAAATAGATATAAAACCATTGGCTGAACCTGTTGTGTTTTAGAGGGTGATAACTGGCAGTTAACTGGCTTGCCTGCAAATTCCAGCTGTGACTTCATTTTATTTCAGTGGTACTGTTCAGTTTCTAAACTTGCATTTGAATGCTCTTTGGTAAAATCTGTACTTTTCTTTTTGGTTATAATCTTTATTGCTTCTGTTGATATTAGATGGCAGAAAAATAGAAATGAGACGAAGCCATATATTATGAACAAGACAGATAAGCTTCCTTTACACTTGGTAATTGTCCATTTGTAATTGTTCATGAGCACAGTTTCAAAGATGTTTCCTTTCTGGTACACCAACATTCTGGCCTTGAGGTTTGTAGACTGGCAGAAATTTATTTAATCCACTGCTCAGCTCTCCTTCTGTTACTGACATTTCCTTTTTGTTTTTGTTGTGTCTTTTTTTTTTTTTTTTTTTTTTTTTGACAGGGTTTCTCTGTGTAGCTTTTGGAGCCTGTCCTGGAACTCACTTTGTAGACCAGGCTGGTCTTGAACTCACAGAGATTTACTTGCCTCTGCCTCCTGAGTGCTGCCACCACTGCCCAACTGTGTCTTTTTTTTTGGGCAGGATTTTTTGTATAGTCCAAGCTGGACTCAAACTTCGAATCCTTCTGTCATAGCTTTTCAAGTGCAACTGTTTAGGTATGTGTTATTGTGCCTGGTGATAGTACCATTTTGCACAGACATCAGGTTTTATGGTAAGGCTGAAGGATGTTAAGTGCATGAGCTACCTCATAGCACATGTGCTTAGATAACATAAAGTCAAGGTTAACACACACTAATTTCAAGGGCTTATTGTTGTTGTTTGTTTTTCCTCTTTTTGGGGGCCTGCCACCCAGCTACCAACTTTTTCTTCTTCTCTTCCTCCTCCTCCTTCTCCTCCTCATCCTTCCTCTTCTTCCTCTTCCTCCTCCTCCTCCTCCTCTTCCTCCTCCTCCTCCTCTTCTTCTTCTTTTAATCCTGGAGTGATTGGACATTGGACAGCCTGGGAATTGAACCGGGTCCTCTGGAACATCAGTCAATGCTCTTAACTGCTGAGCCATCTCTCTCCTCTTCTCAGCTTATTCTTAATTATAAATGTCCGGCCTTAGCTTGGCTTGTTTCTAGTCAGCTTTTCTTAACCTAAATTATCCCGTCCAGCTTTTGCTTTTGGGCTTTTATCTTTCTTTATTCCTGTATACCTTTTCTTTTCTTCTTACTCTGTGGCTTACTCTATAGCTGGGTGGCTGGATGACTGGGTGGCTGGCCCCTGGATCCTCTTCCTTCTTTCATGCTCTTAGATCTCTCCTTCCAGATTTCTCCTATTAATTCTCTCTCCGTGCCAGCCCCACCTGTCTTTTCTCCTGCCTCGACATTGGGTGTTTGGCTGTTTATTAGACGATCAGGCGTTTTAGACAGGCAAAGTAACACAGCTTCACAGAGTTAAACAAATGCAACATAAATAAAAGTAACACACCTTAAAATAATACTTCCCAACACCTCATTGGCCATAATGTGTAGTGTAGTCTTGGGCAAGAAGGCATCAAATATTCCACATGTTCACATACAGATCTGAGCAAAGTGTGGCTCAAAGATTGAGGCAGGAAAAGGGCAAGGAGATGGAGATGCCAGATGGTATGCTATAGCCAGTTATTATAGCCTTCACATTTCTGCAGAGTAAATTCTAACTCTCATGCTAGAGCTATTAGCAATTGGGGGGTTTATTCGCTTTAATGATAGCCTCTCCCACCATTGCCATTTGTGTCCATTTGAATCCTACTAATTTTACTTGGCTACTATGTAAGGGGCAGCTTATGTGTACTTGTGTAAGCCTTCTGATCTTTTGGTTTAATCTGTTGTTTTGTGACAAAATGCTGAATGTGTGCTTTTAATGAGTCCTGACTGCCTTCTTATGGGTCTTTACTCCATTGTTTGATATGTTACATTGCATCACTAGTCTTCAAGAGCTTTTGACTATAGGACTCCTGCCGTGTAACGTGGCTCCTTCTGTATCTTCCACTGGCTTCACTATTTCCAAATGCACCTGTGCCTTTGTGCATATACTTAGCACATCTTGAGGAAATATCCACAAGTACTTTATTTTTTTGGAGCAACCTAGTATTCCTTGAATAAGATGAAGGAGTGTCATTTCGTTGTATGTTTAAAGTTGACTGTGGGAAGACTTACTTTGCTTCTGAATATAAAGTTTTAGTGGATTCTTCCTGAGTGGCTCAAACTTGACTCTTTGCAGAATACAGCCTTGGGTTCACTGCACAGGGAGGGTTTCTGTGCCTTCACAGCTTTGGGTTGGGTAGAAGAGGAGTTGATGCTTTCTGTGGACTTTGCAGGTACCCTCATGTAGCAGCCAAAGTCCTCAAAGTCTTTACAAGAGAGTGATGCTTATTGTCTCCTTTGGATAAATATTAGTTCATTGTTATTGAGAATTAAGCCTAGGGCCTGCCCCATGCCAGAGAAGTACTCCATTGATATCCTTCCAACTCTCTTTTTACTTTTTATTTCTGAGACAAGGGCTTGCTAAGTTGGATAGACAGGCCTTGAACTCACTCTGTAGCCCAGTCTGATTGCCTTTCTGAATCTCTTGCCGCATTGTTCCCCCTTCCTCCTAATTAGCTGGGATTAAAGGACTTTGCCTCTAGTCCTAGTGAAAAAAATTGAAACATTCTTATTAGAACTGTAGCTGTATAGTACTTTGAAATAGTTTAAAAGAAGAAAGGCTAAAAAAGAATTGGGATTGAACTAGTCATTTTATGTAACTAATTGAAAGTTACTGGGACATGCTTCACTGAAAACAATCTCATTTAAGTTAGAGTCCTTTAGGTTTGTGATCTTGATGTTTGTTACTTTTGCTATAGGGAACTATAAAAATTATTTTATGTTTTTTTTCTTTTGTTGATTTATTTAGTTTCCAATTTTTCCTAAATCTCTAACACTAGTTGTTTTTGTTATTCTGTACAGAGGTTTGTACTCAGTCCCCTTCACATAGTTCAGAAAGCTTTTTCTGTCATTCTGATTCAGTGTTTCTTTTCTTTGAGCTTTTGATACTTCTATGAGGGTAGAGATACTTCTGTGAGTCCAGAATTCTAAAATAACACACAGACCTTTAGTTTTGGTTTGTATTTTATTTACCTTTTTTGGAAATTGTTATTATTATATCTTTATAATTTTTAAGTAAACCATCCTACTAAGCCTGGTGCTGTGGATATCGATCGCTCTGTATGCTGTGAATGTGTTGCTCTGATTGGTTAATAAATGAAGTGCTGATTGGCCAGTAGCCAGGCAGGAAGTATAGGCAGGATAAAGGGAGAGGAGAATTCCAAGAACAGAAAGGCTGAGTCAGGAGTCACCAGCCAGACACAGAGGAGGCAAGATGTAAAGATACCAGTAAGCCACGAGCCAAGTGACAAGGTATAGATCTATAGAAATGGGTTAATTTAAGATGTAAGATCTAGCTAGCAAGAAGCCTGAGCCATTAGGCCGTACAGTTTTAATTAATACAAGCTTCTGTGTGTTTATTTGGGTCTGAGTGGCTGTGGGCCTGGGCAGGACTGGAGAAAACTCCAGCTACAGCCTGGTTATATTAATTTATGTCAATGTTGCTGAGTCATTGTCCAATTGAAATAAAAATTTTAATTGTTTATAAAGAAATTATAGGTCAGCTTTGTAAAATGAAAGTGCTATATACATTTCAAATAAGCTAAAAGTGCCAATTACAGCTTGTTACATATGTTATTTTTAATAAGACCACTTTTACTTTCTGATGGGCACTTTATTCTGTCAGCTTCTAGAATTAACAATGTCATGTAGTGGAATTCATGTTCCCACAGTGACTTTTTGTTGTTATTAGAAAACTCTGGAAGAACCTCATACTGGCTTAAGTGGAGCCAGGACCATTGTGGAAACCACATTTGGAGATATGTAAAAGTCTTTCTCTTTAAAAGGATTTATTTCCTGGACTGTTTTGGATACTGTTGCCATTATGACTTTCCTGGGTGGGAATGAAAAAGAAGGTAAAGTTATAATATTGATTCATATTAGTAATAGCCTAAGCTATGAAGTATTTATTGCCTGCTAGGTGGGAAGCAATGTTTGAAGTGCTTTACTTGAATCGACTGAGATGGATATTGTTAGTAGCTTCATTTACATACAGGAAAACTGAGGCACAGCAAGGTTAGTGATTGGGTTTAATTTTCCCAGCTGACTAAGAAGCATCTGGATTTCCATGCTGGAGCTGAGTTTTTAAAATCAGTTTGCTGCTGTTGTAGATAAACAAGTTGTGCATTGTGTGTTTGTTTTTTGTACATAAACATGGCTTACCCAAAATAAATTTATTAATTATCTTAAAGTTTTGTAGGTTAGAATTATAACACAAGGAGCTAAGAATATAGCACAGTAGGTAAAGTGCTTACTGTATAAGGTCTGAGTTTGGATCCTGAACACCATCTAAAAGCTGGGTATCGTAGCCAGGTGTGCTGGTGCACACCTTTAATCCCAGCACTCTGGAGGCAGGGGCAGGTAGAGCTCTGTGAGTTCGAGAACAGCCTAGTCTACAGAGTGAGTTCTGGTACAGCCAGGGCTACACACAGAGAAAGCAAAGAAAGAAAAAAAAGCTGGATACAGCAGCATGTGCCTGTATCTCCAGAGTGGGAAGAAGGGGTATGGAGACAGTTAGATGCCAGGGGCTCACTGGCTAGCAAGTCTAGCCAAAAATAGCAAGCTCCAGGTTTAGTGAGAGACACTGCCTAAAAAAAAAGGTGGCAAGCCGTAGAAGAAGACATCTGATCTTGACCTCTGCCCTCCATGTGCACAAGTATGAGTGCATGTGCACGTGTGCACGTGCGTGCACACACACACACAAGCATTCCT